CTTCTCAACGTCACTGCTGTGTGCACATGCTTCATCATATGTACACCTGTCAGAAACCTTACTGGAAGAGATGATGCATTTTTCTCAAGACCAGTTATAGTTTGTCCTAAAGTAGTTATCTTCAGAAAACCTGGCCCAGTGTTAATGGGAAGTCAGTGTCCTGCACCAGACGTCCTGCTGACGCTCTTCACTTTGGACAGATGCTCAGATCTGCTCCTAATTGTCACGGGTGCACACACACGAGGGACGAGGAGACGCTGGAGAATACTTTACACAAGACTTTATTCGTAGGAAGGAACCAAGGGAGACGAACTCAGGAAGACGTATACAGGAAGACCTTCAACATCGGACAGAGAACTAGGGACTGGGAGGTTGGTGGTGTCTGGGAGCTCCGTGGGATGATGGAACGTCATCCCGATCCGGAATAGCGTCGCGAGGGTTTCCCCCTCGAGGGAGCTGGCGAGGGCGAGCGGCACAAACGCCCTCGCGAAGACGACGGGGTCTGGGCTCGCCTGAGCCACGGTGATGAACATTAAACGCTCCTCCATTTGGGGATGTGGAGGAGCGCACGGGAAAAAAGGAAAAACAAAAACTTACAAAAACCGGAAATCAAACACGGGGAAGGGATGCCGCTTACAGTTCGGTCCGATGTTCTGTCACGGGTGCACACACACGAGGGACGAGGAGACGCTGGAGAATACTTTACACAAGACTTTATTCGTAGGAAGGAACCAAGGGAGACGAACACAGGAAGACGTTCACACGAAGACCTTCAACATCGGACAGAGAATTAGGGGCTGGGAACACTTTATATACACACACACAGGAGGAGGGGATGACGAGACACACCTGGGAGCAATGACACATCAAGGGAAACACCTGGGAAGAAATCAACTTAATTAATCAGGGGAGGAACAGGAAACAAACCAAATAAGGGCATGGGAAGGCACATGGGGAGCAGGACACACACGAAACATGGAACAGAGTCTGACACTAATATGCTGCTCCACACCTTTTTCACCAGATGGTTTTAGATTTTCAATCTGAGCCGAGTCTTAACAGCCAGATGCTCGGTAAACTCTTAAGTTGTTTTCCTTCTTGTGCAAGAAAGGACAATGAGTTGCAGTATTCTGCCTAAAGCACAGGCAGAAGATACTGCAAGTGAGTGATATATATCAATGCCTCACTGAACAAAAGTGTAGAATTTACTTTGATGCTACAGAGAAAACTTTGTCAAAAACCTACTGAAATGAACACGTGTATATCTACACTAATAAGATATCGGTAACACTTTACAATAAGGTTCCATTAGTTAACTACATCAGTTAACATGAACTAACAATGAAAAAAAAAACATTTATTAAGCTAAATTAATGTTAATTTTAGCATTTATTAATAGATTAATAAAATCAGAAGTTGTATGTGTTATTGTTATTTAATGGACCTGAGTTAACACGAACTAACAATGAACAGTTGTATTTTTTTGTTATTAATTAACATTAAGATGAATAAATACTGTAATAAATGTATTGCTTATTGTAAGTTGATGTTAGATAAATCATTAACATTAACTAACCGGACCATATTGTAAAGTGTAACCAACATAGTTTGCTTAAGAAAAATAAATGGATAAAAATAATGAATTGAATAAAAAAATATTTCAATAATAATAATTTATTTATTAGAGAATCTTTTATTTTTAAATTTGGGATTTTTAAAAACATACTGCAATCCCGAAATCACATACTGTGTTTACTGTAAAAAATGTTGTACACCTTTTATAATAAAATGAAGATGTTTCATGTAATATCCGCCTAAAGTTTTATTATATTTGAAATGTTACATATTTCTATATTATATTTAAATACTATAAAACATTTATAAATATATACAATTCTACATTACATTGATATTACATACACTTAAATCAAACAGCCTTCATTTAAACTATGAAAATAATGACTTAACACAACACATGCATTGAACATTATTAAAAAGAACTCCAAATTAATATAATTAAATGTATTTTTAAACAAAGTTTATCAAACAAAAAAACCTTTAAATAATTAGGTTAAAGAGCATTAGCCACTTCACACATACTCTACTCTGAACTAGAAGTCAGCAGTGAGTTGTGATGAATGTTTCCTCACCTCCTGGGTCTCCTGCGAGTGGCTGGTCTCAGTGTGATGTGGACAGTGTTAGCGTCACTCTCCACAGAGCCGCGTGTTGATTCGTCTGCTCCACTAATCCACTGACACAACACACACTGACATCGGCTGTTTACCTGAGCCGCTCACACCTACAGCATCCACATTTAGAAAACCTTCACATTTATTTTCTTTGACAAGCAAAGAATTACTTTGTCATGTCGAATATTACACAAACATAATGTATCTGTACATGTCTAGATGTGTTATTATTTGTAAACAACACAATCAGCCTGATTGTCTTAAGTGGTCCACAGGAAAACAATGTGATGTAATCAGTCTTCTGACGTTTTCACAGAACAACATGTGATGTGTTTTGAAGGACTACTAATAGACTGAGCTTCCTTCAAATAAATGGGTGCATAAGGCAAAAAAACAACAACAGTATGTATAGGTGTTATATATATATTGTAACATTTATACATCTTAGTAGTATTTGCTTTATTGATTTTGAGAAGATATAAATTAAAATTTTTTTATAAATAATTAAATATTTTTCTAATTTTAGTATTAGTATACTAATTTCAGTATTATTCTCAGTATTGCAACAATAAGAATCTAATAACAACCACCACTGGGAAAAATGACAATTACATTAAAAAAAAATCCAAGCAAATTATGGTAAGAATTTGTGTAAGATGCACTTAACAATCATAAAAAAATAATGTCACAATTTAAAAAATTTAAATGGCCCTATATATAAAAAAAAACGTATAAAAGGTATAATTTCTTTGGTTTTGGGGTGAAATGTTTCTGCGAGATTCACCCAAACTTGTATAATTAAATCTGGTCACACACTGTCCCAGCCAAACATGTTTTCCCCAGATGAACCAAGGTACCGTCAGGGTGTTCAGCAGAAACCAGGAACTGATCCCACTCTCTCCTGTCAGGGGACACGCGATATGAACACATTCTTTGAGTTATGTCACACTTACTCAGGGAGTTATTTTTAGAGCTTATTTATGATCTGAAAATAGACCTTATGTGAATCAGTGCAGGAAGGGAGCGCTCTGCCTGTGTGTAGTAATCTAGGAACGGCTGAAGATGGTGATCAGGAGGTAATTCAGCTAAAGAAAAACAAAGGAATACGGTTTACGTGCAATTACACAGTTGCACATTTTATTTTATATGAATCTACATCTTCTGTTTTGTGCAGAGGTATTTATAGAACTTAGCATTTACTAACAATGAAACAGGGGAGGAAGTGCCATATAAATACCACTGCACAAAAAGATCAACAGTAGGTTTATTCTGTAGGCCTACTATTTCAAGATGTGCTAAACTATATATCTTTCTACATACAGTAAAGCACATACTGAAATAGAAAAATGACTACACTGCCAACTAGTGGTGTCTTTAGGAAAACAAGCCTAATGAATGATCAGGAAACTTGCTTTGGACCTATATTGTTTCATGCATATTTACATTTAGAGTGTGCATATATAGAGAAAAAGAGATAGAAAACAAATTAAGCTAAATTAAGTGAAATTTAAAATAACTAATTTAAAATAGTTTTCCATTTTATTACATTGGCTATATTACACACATATAACATATTAACATAACAGCACAACTGTTTTCAAAATGTAAAAATCTAAACAATTTCAACATTCAACATCAAAATGATTTTCTAGAAGCATATAGAAGCGATATGTTGACAGACAAACAGACAGATAGATAGATAGATAGATAGATAGATAGA